TTCGGTTTAGTTCCAATCTTATGGCACAGTGGTCAGAGAGATAGGTCTGTATGATATCAATGTGCTTGAATTTATGTAGATTCAACTTATGCCCTAGCATGTGGTCTATTTTAGAAAATGTGCCATGGGGAGCAGAATAAAATGTGAATTCCTTTTTGTTTGGGTGGAGAGCTCTGTACATGTCTATCAGGTCACATTGTCTAATTGTAGTGTTTAGATCTCTAGTCTCCATGTTGAGTTTCTTTCCGAGTGTTCTGTCTTTCTCAGAGAGTGGTGTATTGAAATCACCTACTATAATTGTTGAGGCTGTGATTTCTTTTTTCATCCTTTGAAGTGTTTGCTTGACATATTCAGCTGCATGCTTATTTGGTGAGTAAATGTTTAGATTGCTTATTGGCTCTTTCTTTAATGTTCCCTTGAGCATTAGATAGTGCCCATCCTTATCTCTTTTTGTGGTATGCACTTGGAGGTCAATTTTATCTGAGATTAGGATTGCAACCGCTGCTTTTTTTAATTAGAGCTTGACTGATAATGTTTCTATCCTTTGATTCTCAGCCTGTTTTTATCTGTAATGTTGAGGTGTGTTTTCTGTAGGCAGCAGATCGAGGGTTTGTGTCTCCCAAGCCAGTCTATTAGCTTCTGTCCATTAAGGTCGGAGTTCAAACCATTAATATTCAGGGTTATTACATCTATCTGTGGGCCCTGTGATGTCATTTTATGTCTCTTGTGTTGGGTGTTTTCCTACCTCCATTTCTTTACCGTGGATTGTGTATATGTTTGTTTGTGGTTCATTCTTGCCTTCTTTCCATCGTTGTGCCAGTTTTATCTTGGGGGCTGTTTTCCCTTTGATGGTCGCTGGGTGAAGTTGCTCTGTGTGGTGGTCTCTTGTATGTGCTTGGTGAGTGTTGTTCTTCTGCCCATACTGGGTCAGTGAGGATCTTTTGGAGTGCTGGGTTCCTTTTAGCATATTCTTTGAGGCTTTCCTTGTCTAGGAAGGCTCGCACTTGTCCATCTATTTTGTTCGATATTCTGGTGGGATACGGTATTCTTGGGTTTGCATTAATTTCCTGAAATTTTTGGAATATGCTGCTCCACTGTCTCCTCTTCTTCATAGTGTCTGCTGACAAGTCTGAGCATATTCTTATCTGTATGCCTCTATATGTGGTTGCCTGTTTTACTCTGACTGCTTTCATAATCCTCTCCTTTACCTCATAGCTGGATATTTTAACAATTATATATCTTGGTGACTTCTTCTGGGGATTCAGTGTAGCTGGCATTCTTTCAGCCTCTTGAATAGTTGCCTGGTATTCATTCATTAAGTT